ATCACATACAACCTTTATTCGATAATCAGATAAAATAATAGTGAATATCTTGCTTATTTTGAAGTATATTGGATGGTTTTGAAATGAAATTGATTGTTGGTATTTGTAAATGCGGGAATTAAAATGTTTTTTTAACATGGTAGTGTTCAGGTAGAAGAAAGTATGGGGTGTGAATTGAACGATTATAAAGACTTCATCAGTCGTCAGATGATGGTTATAATGGGTCAAATGGACAAGGCATCACAAATTTTTCCGTATCTTTATCTAGGAACTGAATGGAATGCATGTGATTGGCAATGGCTACAAAGTGTGGGGTCAGTGCATACTTTTTCTGGAGGCAAGGAAGGGAAGAATCTTATTTTGATGTTGGTTTTGTGGGCGAAGCAATGGTAGTATTAGAATAGGTGCAAGAATGGTTCATCCGATTCTAAAATTCAGATAAACTATTGATTGTTGAACGGGATGACGATTTTCAGTACAGGAAAGTTGTGCGCCATTTTAGTTGGGGATATGTTTATCCGTTTTGTGGATCTTAGAGTTATTCAGTTTATGAATCGTGAATCGAATCACTCGGTGAAATGAGTGCAGAATTGTTCTGTTCTTTTTCAGGATTGAATATATTGTTAACGTTACGACTGAAGTGGAGAATTTTTTTCCGGCTCGTTTGAAATACTTGAAAATTCGTGTTTGTGATAAAGCGAGCAGTGAGCTGCTGAAATATTGGAATCAAACGAATCAGTTCATCAAAGAAGCAAAGTAATAATATCTTTGAGAATTTCTTCAAGATTCATTCAGTTCTCTTCAAAGTCATCCAGTCGGTATTATAAATGGAAACAACTTGTGTCTTAAATACACCAACTGATAATTAAAGATTCGATGTTCTGTCTTAACATTTGCATAGTAAAACTCACGTCTAGAGCCCTGATTACATTCCAAATTATCCTCTTATGTCGTCAGCAATCAAACTGAGTCAATTTTTAGCTTTAACTCAATCAAGTAATTTAACAAATATATGCTTACTTTATGCTTACTTATCGTTATTGAA